GCACCACTGAGTGCCGTTTATTCTTGGTGTTTCTGAGGTATTTTCTCCTGTAAGTTGACGAAAATACAACAATTTTTGCCATTGTGCGGCATTATCTGACTTTTCTGTACCACAGTGATATGTTGTAGCCAGTGCAGTGTAGGTCAGACTCATCTACAGTCCTGCCAAATTTCATGTTGACCGGTGCAGCTGTTTTTGTGCTACGGTTGACCAAATTTCATTGAAAAAAACAGTATGAAAACAATATGACTCCCACACGGGTCATAATAAACCAGTGTAGACATGCTTATATTGATCAGAGTATTGTAGATGCTTATTTTTGTATGAATAAATAAAATCTGTAGTTTGTATGTATTCTAGATGCAGTCTTGTTTCCCTCATAAAAACAGTAAAAAATGTCCCTGCAGCCTCTAAAAATGCTTTGATAAAATGTATAGTGGGTGAAGTAACCAGTCATTAGTTCATTATTGATCAATAATTGCTGAAAGTCGTGGGGAAAGTTAAAAACAGTAGTTTTCAGTGCTCTGTCACTCAGACTCACGGTGCGGTTCTGTTTGGAACCATTGGGAGCTCCATGAACCATGTGACCGCTGGTTCAGAGAGTCACAACGCTCTACAGGGCTCTGACCACGCCTCCTCGCTCATCCCCACACTTGGCCCCGCCCCTCAGTGTGTCTTGGCCCCGCCCACTTTGTAGGCATTTTTAAAGTTTGGCTGGGGGTGGGGCTATGCTTTTCCCAGCTGGTTGGTAACAGTTTAACATGTAGCAAAGAGCTGAATGAAGGTGAACCAGGATTCCTGAGTTCAGATGTTTTTATTCTGTTATTTACAGGCTTTATTCTCATCATGTTGTTATTTGATGAGTGAGTGGTGGCAGCTGTGGAACTAAAGGCAGACGTTGTTGTTAGAACTGCCTTCTGTGCATTAAAAGGCAGAAAAAGTTTATTTCACTGATGGTTGATGAAAAGCTGTGAGTCCTAACCTTCACCCTGCACCCCTCCTGTGTTCTCTGGCCCAATGCAGAACTCCCAGGGTTGTGTGTGTCAGTGTGTGTCAGTGTGTGTCTGCGTTCATGTACTGTTGGATCAAATGCTCTGTGAGACAAAGCGGAGCTGCAGGACTCTCTGCGACTCTGTCATCTCTCTATGGTCACACACAGACCGGGCCGCACACAGAGACAGCCGTTCCCACACACACACTGATCAAAACAATGTGTTTGTCACAAAAGACAAGATCTTTCAGGGGACACACACACACACACACAGACACACACACACACAGAGGCGTTGGAGGCCTCTCTCCATGCCCTTGTTCCGGACAGCCCAATTATCTCCCTGCACCTCATGTCTCTCTGTGCCTTTCAGCTTTCCTTACACACTCACACTAATTGACCAACCATAAATGAGCTTCTGACATTTGATTTTTAAAGCTGATGTTGTCGTCAGCATGTGTGTGGACATGTTTTTGTTACCTGGTGGGGACAATTTTTGACTATTTTCTCAGTGCACACAACATAGTGAGTACTCAATGTTCCTAATGGGGACAAGAACTGGGTCCCCAGAAATACTGTTGGTGGGTCAGGGGTTAGGTTTAGGTCAGGTCTACCTGTGAGGTTAGGTTTAGGGTCAGAGGTCAGGTTTAGGCTGTCAAAAGAACCAATAAATGAATGAAAGTCAGTGCAAAGTCCCCATGAGGATAGAAGAACAAATGTGTGTGTACCACCAGTGATGAGGCCAATAGGAATCTTGATCACTGAAAAGTGTTTTTTTTTCTGATGTCAACATTCATCTGGTTTCTTCATG